CTGATGAGAAGAGCTTCATCTTACAAAGAAAGATTTCTGTTGACAGTGCCCTTGATTTTTTCACAACTCCCATGATATCCAGTATATTTTCTTAAAGCCCTAGTCTTGTATATAGCTTACATGAAAACTTCAGCTGTATGTATTTTGAGTAAATCAGTCCTCTCTGTCAGAAAAAATAACAGAAAACATGAGCCACCTGCATCCTAACAGCTCAAAAAACAACAAGAAGCAAATGTGAGTATTGAATTTCTTAGTTCATTTCTCACCTAAATTCAGGAAGTATTAGCACTCTGTCATTGCACAGGTGATRCCCACTTGTTAAGCAGAGCACCATCTCTCAAGGAGTGAATTAAAAGGATTACTTTGCGTCCCAAATCACAGAGGTGTGCTAGTTATTGAAMTTTTCACACTTTAAAACCTCTCTGTGAGTGAAGAGTCAGCTGGCAAATGTTGAGAAGAAATAATAACTAGAGGAGTTAACTACCRGTCCCAACCCAGCGACTACATGCAGACAGCAAAAGACATAACTTATACCTAATAAAATAATAAACCTGGCCAGAAAGTGACTCAATGAACCCAAGCAATCTTACCAAATATAATTGAGCCAGTCAATACAATAAAAGCAGAGGACCAAATTAATTAGGCGACTGCACATCCAGTGCCTTTGGGAATAAGTAATCACTTATTAAAGATCTGCTGTGCCTTTTTTTGAAAACGCTTTTTGGAGAAAAGTTGAGACTTTCAAAAAAAGGATCCAGCTATGCCTCATATGTTTAAAATGGAAGAGGACTGGAAGTATAGCATGGAATATAGGGAGAACAGTTTCTGAACAGGATGGTTTTCACATTTTCCATGTGGTGTCCATGGTGTCTTCAAGTGTTTCTGCTGTTATCTGACACTTGGATAAAATACTGGAAGGAATATAGAGCATCTTGCCCCAATTAATTTTGGTTCACAAAATAATTGGAAGGGCAATATAACCTTGYATACCCTTAAACTGAGAGCAAAAGGAGAAAAGGGGAAGGGGTTTTTTTTTTAAATTCTGAAGTGTTTTTAAGAATGGAGGGGTTGTAGAATTAGTTGGGTTTTTTTTGTTTTTTTTTTTTTTTAATAAGACAGCACATTTCAGGACTCCTGGTTTTATTTAATCAGCTCTTCAGTTAACAACCCCCAAGCTATACTAAAAAACAGGATGATTCATCTATTTCCACCCAGAACAATTTTGTACATCGTTAGAAAACTAAAACCTCGTAAAATCCTAAGCAGCCCTGAAGAACAGCTACTGCAGAGTGACATGTTGATTGCATCAGCCTAGAAGGGCCACTTCTGAGCCATGCAAGCTTTAGGAGCTCAGTGGAAACTACCACAGTGCTAAAGAAAATGTTTGTAACACACCAGCAGCAAGCATGTTCACTCAGACACAGCAAAACAAATGCCTCCAGAATATCTGGAATCAAGATTCATTCCAGATCTTCCAATATTTGTAAAATTTAAAGTGCTGTTGAGCCCCTGTGCCCTGAGAAACACAAAGGCAATTTCCCCTTCCCAAAATGGAGTGAAAACGTTGATGTCTTAAGCTGAATATAACACCACATGCCACCACATCCCCGTGAAAGTCATTGTCAACCCTCCTGGGAGTGCCAGGCTGCCTCCAGCACCCACTTCTTGTGTGGGGCAGCACCCTGCACACAGACACAGGAGAGCCTGCATTCCTGAGTCTGGCTAATCTTCACCTTCCAAGTCATAACAACGAAACTAACAAAATCTGAAATGGTTATTCTCATTTGCATCCATAGTACTTTTTAAATAGCTATGTATAAACCAAAAAAAAACCCATTCAGACCACAGCAAAGGGGAGGTGGAAGGTATGTGGCTTGYCCACAATAACCAAGGGGTTAGGGCTGTCACAGAGACAAACTTCACAGGACACCATGAAATGCCTTCCTGACCTTCCTCCTCCCTCTCAACAAACGAGCAGGGCAGAACTGCTTTAAAAAAAAAGTAAATAAATAAATAAAAAAAAAAAGAAAAGCACTTTGCTCTACGGTCCACAAAGCACGTGCTATCTGACACTTGCTGAGGATCTCTCTCCTGCCACAGCCCCGCTGCCAGGGAGGCGCTGCCCCGTGCGCAGCCGAACAAGGAACGCAGAATCTGGCTACATGGGGGGCTTAGGGGGAGAAATACCACGGCCAAACTGAAATGTGCGATGATAACGACCAGTGAAGGCTGTGGTGACAACACTTGCACCGTGCCCGCTGTGCCAGTGGCACAGTAACCAGGTCTGGGCACAGAGACACAGCTTTTCTATGTTCGATTKTGAGATGCACTGCGTGGGCAGGACCCACACTATCACACTTCCTTAGAGATAGGAAGGAGACAGCTTTAGCTCACAGCTGAGCAATAACCACGCAATAATCCTGCTAGTGCTCCTCTCTTTCCCACAAAGCAGCAGCTCTCTTTCAGAAGCTGCTCCTAAAGCTGCACTGTCCATAGCAGGTTTTGGCACYGGAGACCCACTTGGGTCTTGGCTTGGGTACAAGCAGCAGCTGTAAGACCCACAGCATCCAGAAAGTAAAAACTCACACTCAAACAATACAGCAAATACAATGTTTCAGGCACGCAGAGCTTGAAAAAAACGTCGTCCTAGCAAGTTTGACCAGGAAAGCACTTTAAAAAGCAGTCACTCTACTCCCAATGTTACCAATGAGACCCAAACACATATCTAAGCATGCAGTTGCCTATTGCCTTCAAAAGTCTCCTGCTTCACAAAGGCAGCAGAGACACCCCAACACATCATGAGCAGAACACGTTAAAACCTCAATCTCCTGAATTTTTATGCACTTGTGTAARTGTATCTCAGGCAATGAAGGGAGGGGACTGCCTTATTACAGCCCAGCAAAGCACAAGGAGAAGTCACYGCACGTTCAGGGTGTAAAGAGCAACAAAGTTGCTTTGAAAACCATTAACTCAGGAGCAGCGTGGCCATGAGCAGATTCCTAYAGCGCAATAAAACTGTACAAATTACTGATCCCATTCTCTGCTGGGACTAATTTTGGGAACAGGCCAGGAGTTGCAACATGCCTAAAGGTAGGAGCTTTAAGCAGCAAAATTATTTTGTTTTCTCAGGCACTGAACACTGTCATGTACTTGACTAAGAGCAGCTTGGGGGAAGACACCGAAAATGAGATGTTGCCCGCTCTTGACCTGCCTCCCAATTCCAAMTGATCCTCATTGAGGCTGCCACAGTCAGAACACACAAGCCACGTCTGCTGGGTGTAATGCCAGTGGCACATAAGGAAAGATATTGTCAGTGGGCTAAACTCATTCCACATCTAGCTGCAGGGAAGTTACAGCAGTGCAGATACAGATGCCCAATTTCAAACCATGTCCCAYTTCCTCAGAGCCTCCTTGGATTATGCTTACAGCAACAGAAACTGCACGGTGAAACTGTATCACAACTTTGGTACACTGCATTAGCATATTTATTGAAGGTCTGTGCCAGTTTGATTTGGGTTTTTTTGTAAGCATTTACTAACAGCTGTTTTAATTAGTGCCTCATTGGTGTGTAGACAATGATGTGATACACACCAGGAAGCATTTTCTGCATAAAGCAACGTTAYATGTACCATGATCTAAACAGCTCTTCCCACCCTCACAACCACAGATGAGGGCCAATGGACTGGCAGTGCATCACAGGAAGGCAATATTGCATTTAACTCCTCTTACTTCAAGTTTCCAGGGCACCCTCAGAGAGGGGGAGGCACAGAAATGAGAGCCACAAGCAATCCCAGTGGCTCATTCTCTTCACCCTCAAAGCGTTAAAAGGAAAATACAATGTCAACATCAGCTCCTCCCTGCTGATGAAACCGGCTCCAGCGCATTTTACTTTCTGGCTCGGAGCCCTTACAAACCGTTACAAAAAGACAGAAGACAGACAGACAGCTCAATATATCGACCRCTTCCAATAACTAATTTGGGACACGCTGGGTCAGTTGTCCCTTCTATGAAGTGCTGAAGCCTCTTAGTGGTGAATGAACCCAGATATCTGGGGGNGGGGGGGGGGAGGGCAGCTAATAGCAGATTTGCATTTCAGGAAAGAGCCAACGCTAACATCAGTACATATAAATACTCCTCACTCTCTTCCTCCGGGAGACACAGACTATATCTGGTACACTAAAATCATCTCCACGACTCTCAGTGCCCATCAGCGAGGGCTCCCGCCAGGCACTCCTCGCTGCCTGCCCCTCGCTCCTACCCCGGCGCTGACACTCATGGAAGCGGGGASAGGGAGCCGGGCTGAGGAGCGGAGGGCTGGGGCTCCTGCTCATCCTCCCTGCCACGGCAACAGCTCGGGCTGCGTGCGCGCCTTCCCAGCCCGGGGAGCGGCGGAGCATCACAACCAACCACGCCAAGAAGCCACCACAAGCTCTCAATTATACATTAAAAAAAAAAAATCCGCAATTTAAAATATATGTATATATATCGTTTCGTCTGAGTGACCTGACTGGTATTGTCCAAAACGACCTTATCGGGGGTGTTTTGTTGCAGCCGACACACACACGCAGCGTGGACTCCGTGGGAGTCTCTCGATGCGGCCACAGCGGGGTCTGGCACGCAGGTACACGGCACGTTTCCGTGAAGCTGCGCTTCCCCGGCAGGGCAGGAGCCCCTCCAAGCCATCCCCACGGATTTTTCCAGCTCCCGCACCACCGCGTGCGCGGCCAAGCCCCGCCGCCAGAGCCCCCTTGCCGCCCCCGCCCGCGCCGCSGCGGAGCGCGGGGGGCTCGCAGGTAGAACAAAACCCCCGCGCCCGGGTCCCCCGCCGGTGGCCGGCGGGAGGGGCCGTCAGGGCAGCCCCTCGGGCACCACCGGGCCGGGGCCGGCACCGCAGGGCCGCAGGGTGGAGGGTGTGCGATGGGGAGCGGGCCGGGGGTGCCGCGCCGCTGCCGCTGCCGCGCCGCCCGCGCCCACCGCCGCCCACCTCGCCGCGCCTTTACCTTCGGAGAGCTCCAGCTCCAGCTCGGCCAGCCGGGCCCGCACCTCCAGCGGCAGGGACACGCTCTCCAGGCTGCGGTCCGCCATGCTCGCGCGGCGGGGACGGGCTCTCCCCTCCTCTGGCTGCCCGCTCTCCCCCTTTGTCCGCGGTGGCGGGGCGCGGGAAGGCGGCGGGGCCGCGGCGGGTGGCTGAGTCCTCCCCGCGGTCTCAGCCGGGCATGCAGGGGAGAGGCGGGCGGGCGGGCGGTCCGCGCGGGGGGACGGGGCGCGGAGGGAGGGAATGCGGAGGTTTCTCCTCTCCTCCCCTCTCCTCCTCCTCCTCCTTCGCCGCCTCCTTCAGCGGGGCCCCGCCA